AATCTTATATACCCACCATCACACCTCGTTTGACTCGAATGAAACTTACTTATGTCGAATTTCATCTATATACTCGTATATTTAGGCCAGTTATAAGCGTAGGGGTAGGGTCAATCATGGACCGATCCTCATAAATTTTTTTTAGATAGATTTTGACTCGTATGAAACTTACTTATGTTGAATTTCATCTATATACTAGTATTTTTAAGCCAGTAATGAGCGTTAAAGTCATTTTCTGAAGGGGACCTTATATGGGGGGTAGGGTCAATTATAGACCGATCCTCATAAAATTTTGAATAGTGATTTTGGATCATAAGGAACTTACTTATGTCGAATTTCATCGCTATATTTGTATTTTTAAACAAGATATGGCTGTTAAAGCTGCTTTTCGAGGGGCCACTTGTATGGGGCCGATATTGCCCATTTTCAATACCAAACAAACCTTACCTATAAAAAATATTTATGTGAAATTTCAACCCTCTAGCTCTTTCCATTCGGACTCTATCGTGCTTTCAACAGACAGACAGACGGACGGACAGACATGGCTAGATCGTCTTAGAATTTAATGAGGACCCAGAATATATATACTTTTGTGGGTCCATGACCACTATTTCGATGTGTTACAAACGGAATGACAAAATCAATATACCCCCCATCTTTTTTGATGGTGGGTATAAAAATATGTCTTTTCGCGTACTTTCCTGTAAGAAATATCCAGTAACTTTATGATAGAGAGTAATTTTTAATTTACTCTCAATCAAAAAAATATCCAAAAAAGTACTCGAAAGCCAATTTAAAAAATAAATGTGCAAGTTTTTGTTTATAAACAAAATCTCAATCGCTAACAAAACACTAAAAAACAAATAATTGAAACTTTGATTTTTCCTATAAATAAATAGATATTTAAAGTTAACAAAACATGCAGTATCATTAAAAATATATTATTGTTTTAAAACTTTATGATACAAACATATTATTAAAATAAAAATTTACACAAAATCGCTAAGAGAAAGACTAACTAAATTGTTTTAAAAACGCTAGATTTACAATATTTGTTATGTTTTTTTCACAACAAATAAACTCTTTTAAAAACTAATTTATGATAAATAAAATTTAAATAAATCTAATTACAAATAATTTTTTTAATATTCGTGTTTGTATATTTCTTTAAAAAAAATTAAAATTTACCAAATTTTCGATTTCTTTGGTTTGTTTACATATTCATAAATCAAACATATGTTGTGAATATAAGTTGGATATTTTTTGCTGGGGAAAAAATATCTAGTAAAATGAAAAATTCTCCAACAACGAACTGTAATTTTTATCGCTCTCTTACTCTCTCGTTGCAAGTTTTCAAAAGTACGCGAAAGGAATCCAATAACAATTGTTGCAAATTGTTACAAATTATCGAGTACGCGAACAGACCTAATATTTATTGCGACATCAGCTATTCAAGTGTTGAGACATGATGATAGAAGAGGGAAATCATAACTTAGTTGTATAACAAATGTACAATCAGTGTTGGCTAACATGCAGTGTACTAAAAAAAATTCTATTTAGCTGGACAAATTAAATTTTAGCTTGAAACTGGACAAGCATCAAAAAAGCTGGACAATCCAGCCAAGTCCAGCCAGGCTGGCAACCCTAGGTGTAACGCTTTTTAATATTTTTATTTAAAAATAACAATTTCAAAAAAGTCTTGGATTTTACTCATAATTTTTACGATTGTTTTCTTTTGTAATGACGATTTTCCTTTTTATTTTGTGGCACAAAACATATGTTTTATTATTTCTTGGATTTTTCTCATCATTTTTTCAATTGTTTTCGTTTGTATTGACAAGTTTCCTTTTTATTTTATGTTTTATTGTCTCGAAAACTACTTAGAAAAATTACTAAACGCAAACAAAGCGCGCGAACTCCATCACATACTTAAATAAATTTGGCGATTTTCAAATCGTATGCATGCAATTGTCATCACATGAGCGTATGTAAACATGTCCAGCAAACAAAGTGTGGACAAATTCAGGTGAAAAACCTATAAATTTTACATTAGCGTGTCATTGGAGGGATGTTGTGATGTTTGACAACTTTGAACTACATCTAATCTTATCTTTAGAAGCTGTAAAAAATCCCATATTTGTATGTCAAAAATAAACCACATTCTTTCAATGAAACGGTTTTTCATAAAAATTTTAAGTACTTCGAATATGTTGTTTGTAGTGACACTTCTACATCTCTTTCTTCATTTTTAACTGCGTTTTCATTTGTAAGGATATGTTTGGTTTATAAAAGCGAAAAGTATGCAATCGTATTTTTTAGATGTGATTAAGATGTCGTTTGTATGAAAAATTTTTATGAAAAACGGTCAATAATTCACCCTACCTCTCATATAAGGTCCTTCTCAGAAAATTTGATGAGTAATATCACCCTGATGTTTATAGGGGAGCATTCCTTTTACGGCATACGGTTTAATGGTGGGTATATAAGATTCGGCACAGCCGAATATAACACTCTCACTTGTTCGGATTGACTTTTTGAAAATAAGAATTATTTTCATAATATTTTTAATTTAAAGTGTGTTAATACTTAGTATTGTAGTCTGAAAATACCTTAAATCGACACCATAATATTCAGTAAAACGACATGTAAAATTTTTCAAATAAATGAATGATTTTTTTTAATTTTTTGAAAATTTTCAAAACGATTGGATTTTTTCGTTTTATCTAAGTTTTATTTTTATTTAAAGAAAAGAATAAAAACAGAAACAAAATTAAAATATGTTTTTTTTTTTTTGAAATTTTTCGAATTGAATTTTCATTTTATTTCAAATGTAATAGTGTAAAAAGAAAATATATTTTATATTTTTGATAATCATACCAATTTTCACTTTTTTTGTTTTAGCAGTATGAAATAAAAATTTAACGACTTCTCTCATAGTGTGTAGGCAGCTTAAGTAAAGGCTCATTTCCGCATACACCGTAATCGGTGCCGAAAACGAAATTGCATATACTATTTGTACGGAAAAAAATAAGTTTCTTTCGTCACAAATGTATAAAATTTCGTTTTCGGTGCCAATTACGGTGTATGCGGAAACCTGCTTTAAGTAGATATTAGCATTTTAACCCCATACTTTTCAATGTAAGATTTTGCTGGAATTATTTCTAATTAATGAAATGCATAGTTGTTTCTATGAAATTTTATTATGGAACAAAAATTAAACTTTCCTACAACTCAGCATTTTTTACAAAAACGACTATCATCAATGTGACTAAGAAGATCACATAATATGTATATTAATCATACACCAATTCTTCCACAATTTTAGCATTTTATGAAAAGTTTTTATGAAATTTTTAAAAATATTATTTTTAATTAAATTTCTATATTTACAAAAAAGAGTACTCATCATTTCCTTTTTTATTTTAATTAAATACGAATCGATTAAATATTCGATCAATTATGATTTTACACTCATATTGCATTTTTTACAACATTATTTGAACATTAATTTGTATATTTTTAAATTTTTTTTACTTTTGTTACTTGCTATTATCCTTTTTCACAAACATTGTGTGTTTTTTTCAATTTATATACCCACCATCAAAAAAAAAAAAGGTGGTATATTGATCGAAATATTGGTCATAGACCCACAAAGGTATTCTGGGTCCTTATTAAATTCTAAGACGATCTAGCCATGCCCGTCCGTCTGTCTGTTGAAAGCACGATAGAGTCCGAAATGAGCTAAAGGGTTGAAATTTTCCACAAATATTCTCTATAGATAAGGTTTGTTGGCATTGAAAATGGGCAAATCGGTCCAGGTTTTCGGATAGCCCCCATACAAGTGGACCCTCGAAAAACAGATTTAACGGGCATATCTTTTTTAAAAGTACGAGTATAGCGATAGACATTACAAAGGGACCTAATTTGGACCCAAGTAAAGCTATACTCGTAATAGTATACAGTGTGCTGAACCTAACCTATAGCGATGAAATTCGACATAAATAAGTTTCATATGAGTCAAAATCTCCCTACCAAATTTTATGAGGATCCGTCCATAATTGATGTATATAAGGCCCCTTCAGAAAATCACTACAACGCTCATTACTGGCGTAAGTTTCGTGCGATACAAAATCTCTCTACCAAATTTTATATGGATCGGTCAATAATTGACCCTACCTCTCTTATAAGGTCCCCCTCAGAAAATGACTTTGGCGGTCATTACTGGCTTAAAAATACTAGTATAGCAATGAAATTTGACATAAGTCCCTGACGAGCCAAAACCTCTCTATCAAATTTCATTTCGATCGGTCAATAATTAACCCTACCCCATATAAGGTCCCTTTCAAAAAATTACGTTAACGCTCATTACTGGCTTAAAAATACGAGTATAGCAAAGAAATTTGACATCATAAGTAAATCCTCGTCAGCAAATTTTATGTGGATCGGTCCATAATTGAGCTACCCTCAATATAAGGTCCCTCCAGATCTTTACTGGCTTAAAAGTTCGAGTATAGAGATGAAATTTGACATAAGTAAGTTACGAGCCAAAACCTAAGAAACTTTAATATGAACGTAAATCTTCCTATCAAATTTCATGCGGAAAGTGTCGGGAATTGATATTCGATGTAAACATGTTTTATATGAACCAAAAACGGTCTAAAAAATGTATGAACAATTTTATGAACGGTCAATAATTCACCCTACCTCTCATATAAGGTCCTCTTCAGTAAATTTGATGAGTAATATCACCCTGATGTTTAAAGGAGAGCATACTTTTTGGGTATACGGTTTGATGGTGGGTATATTATATTCGGCATAGCCGAATATAACACTCTTACTTGTTTATTCTGATGTAAACCTTGTTGTCAAAATTTGCACTTTCGCAATTTTGTACAGAAAAAAACGTGAATATATTTATATTGTTATACATTGTACGGAATTTAATGCATTACTGAAAATGCTCTATTGAAATCAAATTGTTTTGATTGTGTCATACATACCTCAGGAAAAAAATGTTGCGGGAATTTCGATTTTTCCTTAGTTGATATGGTTTCTATGTTTCCGGAATATATGTTTTTTCCTTCAGCTGATTCCCAACTATGTGTAAGAAAATTCCACATTTTCACAATTTTTAAACTTTTGTGTACAAAATAAAGATTTCCTAGTGCCTAAATAAAAGAAAATAAATTGGTAAATATTGATGTACATATGTATGTATATATTTAAAGTGCAAAAGTTCCAATGCTATATTTATATCCACTATGGTGGGGAGGGTATTTAATAGGGTATTCAAACGATTAATCGTCGATCGGTTAATCGATCAATTTTTGACGATTAATCGTTCGAATAAATGAAAATTGCCAAATTTCAAATAACGAATAAACCGAATAATTTCTATCAATTAACCGATTAAAAAAACTTACTGCTGAACAGTAAAATTTATGTATATTTTTTTTATTTATTCCTTTATTATCTATGATTTGACTGATTGACTGACTGATTCATCATCGCACAGCCCAAACCGTAAAAGATAGATTCATGAAAATTTGGTTATAGGTTCCTTTGGCATTGTACAGATCCACCAAGAAAGGATTTTTGGAAACTCGAACGTTTAGGAGATGAAATGGGTAAAAAAGGGTAAAATTGGTATCCTTAATATCTCCTAAAGAAGCAAAGATATAAATAAAATTCCACATATATCCTCTATTATACAAAAAAATAATTCATAGGTGTCTGGTACTTTTCCAAAAATCGAGACTTAAATAGCTACATGGATAAAACTGACCCCGTAGAACTTTTTCTTAGCCTATTTATCTTCTAAACAAATGACCATACGAATAAAACATTCAATGTATCTTATTATAATCAAAGGCTATTTGAAATCGGGTAATGATGGGATAAAAACGGTATCTAAAATTGGATCTTTTTAAACTTTTTTCATTTTTTTTTCTCATTCAATTATAAGTACAATAAAATGTATATCATATTCGTAACTTATCAAAAAATTACAAATACAAATTTAGTACTTTTTGGAAATTCGAACATTTAAGCAGTATAATGGTATCTATTTTTTGTACAATTTTCATAAAACATTGTTTCTTATTTACCGACATTCTTTTTGTATAATTGTGGGCTCTCACAACGATTTTTGGAATATATATTTTTTTTTATTTTTACATCGAATATAAGTGAAAAATTTTCCAAAAAATATTCCCCTTTTTTTAGGTAATTAATCTTGAGCCATAAATGCGATCGGCGATAAATAAGTGTATTTTTTTACCAAATTTAGTAGGTGTGAAAATACGTCCATATTTTAATTAAATTAATTAATTCAAAAAGTATATTAAAACGCTGGAAAATGCCAAGGCAAAGCTCCGTACTCAAAAGAAAAAGTGGGCTTCGTTTATAAAAACTAGCAAACATGTATTCTAAAACCAAAAATTTAAATTTCGAGATATTTTGATCAATAATACAGTCGATCTGTGTTATTTAGGTCAAATAAAGAATTCTTCCACTATAAAAAAAGTAAGAAGACACAAACAATATAATTTATTTTTGAAATATTTATTACGAAGAAAAAACTACAAAGTTGCATGTAGCTCTATCCTGTTGAGATTTATTGGATGTTCATTAAGATCCAATAAATCGCATACTAAACGACTTTCAATTTACATATCGTCACCTAAAAAGTTTCTACACCCCCAGTCACCTTGGGATACTACAAAAATTCGAAATGTCCTAGGAACATTGAGTCTCTAATTAAAGAAAAGAGAACACTCAGACGTCAATGGTAACAATCACATCGCCTTTAAAAATAATAAGGAATCTAATCTGAGAAATTATGTCAAAAACTTAGACCCTACTAAGAAAACAGAATATAGTCTCTGGAAAGCTGTTAAACATATGCAATGTCCTATTTCATATGAGTCACCCATACGCCTCCAAAATGGTCAATGGGCAAGAAATACGTCAGAAAAACTTGAAGCATTCGCCAATCACTTGGAGAATGTGTTTACTGAAAATGATACAGATTCTTCTATTAGTGCTAACATTATAAATAATGTGGTTCCACGCCCAATAAAATTCAAAGGTCTAAAGGCAGGAAAATCACCTGGTATAGATAAAATTACTACCACGATGATAAGTAACCTGCCCAATTCAGCACTGAGAATTATTTTGTTCATCTTTAACTCGATGCTACGTATTGGATATTTCCCTACCTCATGGAAAGTATCCGAAATTGTTATGATACCAAAACCGGGAAAAGATGTCACTCAAGTGACATCATGCCGTCCCTTTAGCCTGTTGTCTATATTCTCAAAACTTTTTGAAAAGTTATTGCTTGAAAGCCTTATAGTACACCTTAATGATAATTGCATTATTCCTGACCATCAGTTTGGTTTCAGAAGAAAGCACAGCACAGGTACATCGAATAACTACTCTTATTCGGAAGGCCTTCGATAGCAAGCAATATTGCTCAGCATTATTCATAGATATTTCTCAAGCTTTCGATAAAGTGTGGCACAATGGACTAATACACAAAATTATCACATTACTACCTGCGAATGTACACAAACTGCTTAAAAACTACATATATGAAAGATCTCTTCAAATCAGATCTAAAGATGTGATCTCTTCACGTCGAAAAATATCTGCTGGAGTACCCCAGGGAAGTATTCTAGGTCCGTTCCTATATATTTTATATACTGCAGATATGCCAACGAGCGCACTGACTCACACATCTACATTTGCGGATGATACCGCTTTTGTAAGCATACATGACAACCCTTCAATAGCTTCTGAACAACTCCAGCTTCATATCGGCGAATTGGAAAAGTGGCTAGACAAATGGAAAATAAAGGTCAATGCAACAAAATGTACTCACGTTACATTTATTTTAAGACGAGAAAATTGTCCTCCGTACAGATAAACAATATAAAAATTCCTGAACAAAGCCATGTGAGATATCTTGGTATCCACCTTGATCGCCGCTTAACAGGACTCACCACATTGAAGCCAAGGTTACACAAATAAAATTAAAGTCAGCTCAAATGTACTTGCTAATTGGACCACGGTCAGCTCTAGACTTGGAATACAAGGTGCTTTTGTACAAAACAGTTATAAAACCGATATGGCTATACGGCATTCAACTGTGGGGAACAGCCTCCTCTAATGTTGAAAAATTACAAAGAAAGCAGTCAGAACTGTTAAGGTCAATAACAGGTGCCCCGTAGTACATTCGCAATAGTAATATTCATAGGGATCTCAATGTCTCCATAATACGCGAGGAGATCAAATTCTCTTGTTTAACCTACTTGTTCAAAGTTGCTGTCATTGAATTAAGAATTTGTTCCGATTTACCTACTTCTACAATGGGTTCATAGAGAAACACATTAGATTCGTGAAAAGCAATGTTGGAAGTAATGATATCACTTTTACTTCTACAACCAGTTTTGAAGAACATAGTTGTGTTTCTTAAGTATTTCTAATAAGTTTTTCAGCAAAAGTTATACATTAGCTAATCTGAAACTTCTTGAAAAATCTCAAAAACATAAAATTAATTAACTGAATTTCTTTATGTGGGAAAGGATTTCACATGAAAAATAATTTATAATATTAAAAAAAAAATAAATTAAAATATTTAGATAGAATTAAACTCAAAGAAGTGGAAAATTATAATTTAGTTTGTTATAAGAAGAAAAATATTGTAAACAAGTAAGAGTACTATATTCGGCTATGCCGAATCCTATAAACCCTTCACCACGGTGTATTTAAAAAATATCAATTCTATAAAGTTTTAATTTATTTCATTTTCCCGTTTATATCATTATTATAGCAATAGCAAAACGAACAACAACAACGCTAAACGAAATAAACACACAAAAAAAAACAAAATACACAAGGCAGTAAAATCAACAGACATCCAAACATATGAAACGAAATACACAAAAAACAAAAACAAAATACACAACGCAATGAAACCAACAGACATCCAAACATACGAAACTGAATACACCAAAAAACAAAAACAATATACACAAGGAAATGAAACATACGAAACGAAATACTCACAAAAAAGCAAAAAGAAAATACACAACGCAAAGAAAACAACATACATCCAAACATACGAAACTCAATGCACCAAGAAACAAAAACAACATACACAAGGCAATGAAACACACAGCCATCCAAACATATGAAACGAAATACTCTATGAATAAGCAGTGTTGTTGTTGCGTATATCAAAGCATGAAAAAATTTGTCTTTTTTCTGAAATTTTCAGAGATTGTCTCGGTTTTTTGCTCAAATCTCCGGTATTTATGGATCGATTTTGCTGATTTTAAATAGCGATCTTCTCGAAAGCATGTCTAACAGAATTATTGAAGATTTGAATCTCGCCGTTATCTGGGGTCCTCTAAAAACTGATTTCAACAAACACACAGACATACGGACAGACAGACAGACATAGCTTAATCAACTCCGCTACCTATAAGGATCCAGAATATATATACTTTATGGGGTCGGAAAATTATATTATAGAAATTACAAACGGAATGACAAACTTATATACATATACCCTTCTCACGAAGGTGAAGGGTATAAAAAGCAATACAATAATTAAAAAAATAAAACCTCAAATAATTATTTGTCGAATAAACCGAATGAGATTAAAACCCGAATAATTGAATACCCTAGTATTTAATAAATCAAACAAGTTTGTAAAAACACAAAATAAATTATATATTATAACGGGACAGCCTGTTTGGCCAAGTAATTTACTTTCTCATTAAACAAAACTCCAACATGGGACGGAACCCATATGTAGATCTTACAATATCAGCAACTAGAAAGTGTTTCGAAGAATGATCCAAAATAATGGAAGCATTTCTGACGTCTGTATATATGAGAAGACTAGAGTGATTGTCCTCAATGGCTGTGGTAACAGCCATTTTGATAGCAATCAACTCTCCAGACAAAGATGAAAACTTTTAAGGTATACTATACAAAAAGAAACTGTCAGTAATAATATTTATACTATATAACTATTTATATTATGAGAGGGCGCAGTCTTAATTAATTACATTAAGGACTAATTATAACACGCAATTTTCACAGATCCTTAGAGGCGAGATCGATCTGAGGTGAAGTGGTAGTTCATTAGCCAAAA